CTCTAGTATAGTTGTATGTGTTCTTCTCTAGTATAGTTGTATATGTTCTGCTCTAGTATAGTTGTATATGTTCTGCTCTAGTATAGTTGTATATGTTCTCATAGTAATGTAATGTATATGACTCATGAATGAACTGACTCATTGATCTAGCAACAGCGTAAATGTAATCCTGTGTTACCCCGATGGTAACTTACTAATGATGTAACTGATACTCATGAATAATGGAAGTACTTTTATGTCTATATATGCACACATGGTATATAATTAATATTGAAACGACCCTCGGATGGCTACCCGACATCCCACCAGACCACATCCAAATCGAGGAAAAGGAAATAGGGTGGATGGCCTTCCTAAGCCTTTTAAACATCTCTTATATATCTATGCATATATGGACATGCAATTTATAAGAAGTATAATAAAGTTTAAATAAAAGTATTTGATAAGTAAAAGATTTTGTAAAACATTTTGAAGTAAAACAGTTTGATAAACATTTTGAAACAGTGATGAAATCATTGGTTTTGTAGTTATTAATCACATGTGATTGATGTAATAACTATAAGTATTCAACTGGTATTCCCAACCCCCCAATAAAAGTATTTAAAACATTTAAAAGTATTTCAAAGGTTAATTAAAGGGGTATAAACTCACCTGTAGTGAGTGGTTCTGATGACAAAGTTGGATTTGATGCTCGGTGTCAAGTGGTGACTTAAGTACACACGCCAAGCCTATTTAGCATATATTGGCACATGTATGGATATAATTAGTGTTATGAACAACTAATTGATGATTTTGGGACCATCATAGGGACTAGTAAATACTTATAATGAAGTGTTATAATCATATATGATTGTATGAGAGTTTATAAGGCTATACAAGAGGGTGTATGGCCAAAATACACACTATATGTGTGTGTGCGGCCAGGTGTGCAGCCTAGTGTACTGCCAGCACTTGTGTGCGGCCATGTGTGCTTCCAGATGGTGTGTGTTGCCATGTGTGCGGCCAGATGGTGTTCTTGGTACCTTTTTATGACGATCTTCAAGGAGAATGGATGATACTTGAGAGGATCTCGTGTTCTATGCTTGAAGAAATGAAGGAAGTGTTCAAAATTATTTAAGTGTGGCATATATAGGTGGGGTGTGCGGTTGGGAAAGGTGTGAGGCCGCAAACAAGAGTGTGTGGCCGCACACTCAAGTGTGTGGCCGCACACTCCATGTGTTGGAGTGTTTGGCCCGGTTTTGATTCCTACGCTTCGAGTTAACCTTTTTTAACACTTCTACCTTGATTATATCACATTTAGAATGCTTCATTAGACTCTAAAGGGTACTACTATATAGTAAAATAAGTCTAATATTGGAAAGAATTGAAGAGTGCATGCGAGAAGTTCTTCGGGTTGCCATATAACCCCTAACTTTGTTTGTATACACATAAGGTCGAACCTGTTTAAATGTATCAAATCAAGGTTGACCTTACCCAAAACTAACATCACCAACACATAATTTAGAATCCGTATTTCTGACCGTTTTATTCGTTGTTAGTTCGGGCTCTACATCTCAAATGTGTCTTCAAATAGATTGTTGGTGATTTTAGTGTTACCAAACATTTTTTGTGTAATTGGAACTGATATGTAAGGTAAGGAGTTTATAATTTGTACTCTATTTTATGCTTGGCGTGCAGAGTGCACACATATATTAAATCGAAATTTAAGTGGGTACGACAAAATATCGGGGGTCAAGAAGGCGGCCCCCTTGCGGGGTCCTATAGTAGCTCCCCTGTTGTGTGTGTGTGTATATATATATATATATATATATATATATATATATAGACAATAAATGTAATTATATGATTTATTTATGGTTATTTTTTTACAAATATTTTTTATCCTTACAAAAGTTAAAAATAAATATTTATTTAAACCATATAAAAATTGCTCCATTTGAGTAGTATATATATATATATATATATATACACACACACACACACACACATACACGCGCGCGCGTGAAAAAATTGTATTTTCATGAATTTCAAAACATATTTATGCATAACATTCAAAGTTCAAGTTCTATCCGCAAGTCTACAATTCTTATCTAAACTTAGTGTTTTTTTAATCAAAACAGAGAAGAATTAAAATTGTTAATTTTAGATGAGTATTGTAGAGTTACAAATAAAACTTTGAATATTATGTATACAGTAGTGTTTGTAAATTTATGAAAAAATAACACATTTTATTTCTTTATTACATGTTTTATTTATTATTCATAATAAATATTTATTTATCAATTTTATTTGTAATTTAACTTATCATGTTTTTTTCATTTATGTTTTTTAATTTGCATTATTTTCTAATATTAAACAAAACAATTTTATTGTTATTTTTTTGGTCTATTTAATTTTCTATTTCATGGTACAAGAACCATGATACCGTTACATTACAATCGAATTTTATATAAAAATAAATATTTCCAAATATATAATTAATGATTATTATTTTTATAATTTATATATTATTTTATTTTGTAAACCGTAAATTCTATACTTATAACATAGTAATAGCAATAACGAAAAGGCAACAAAAAAAATAAAAAATTAAGAAAATAATAAAGAGATAAAAGAAAAAATAAAGGGATAATGACTTCAAAGGGTAACGAACTTTCGATTTTGTTCACATTTAGTCACTAAACTTTTTTTGTTATTTATTTGTTACTGAACCATTGAAATTGTTCACATTTTACCCTTATGACCGGTTGTTACCAGTCATAAGGGTAAAATATGAACAATTTCAATAATTCAGTGACAAATTGATAATGAAAAAAAGTTTAGTGACTGAATGTGAACAAAACTGACAATTCGTTTCCCTTTAAAAAAGTTCAATGACTAAATATGAACAAACTTCCTCTTGTATAATGTTTGAGCAAATTATTTATTTTTGTTAAATTATAGCAATTTTTGTTGATGAAGAAATCTATGAAATAAAAAAAACAAAACCCAGAAAAATATATTAAAAAAACGAAAAACTAAAACCGAAATAAAAAAATTAATGGTTTGGTATTTTCCAAATAAAACATCTAAATTTCCAATCTGATTTTGGTTTTATAAAAATTCAACTTTCAAATTTTCATATCTAAATCTCTCCCCATTTTTATAATCGAAAAATGATTATAAAACCAAAAAGGGAATGAGAAAACACTTAATTTGGAATTTTTCTATCCAAAACTCACCCTTAACACATGATATAAACATTTTGCTTCAATCTGGAAAATCCAAAATATCTTCAATTTTTAGCGTCGTTCACGGACCGCTTTTGACAAAAATTTGGGTAGAAATTATCAATTTTAAAGTTCTGTCAAAGGCGGTCTGTGAACGAAGCTAAAAATTGAAGATTTTTGGATTTTTAGATTGAAGCAAAATGTTTATGTCATGTGTTAAGGCCTAAGGGGGGGGGGGGGGGGTTGGATAGACAAATTTCGAATTGAGTGCTTTTTCATTCCCTTTTTGGTTTTATAATCATTTTTCGATTATAAAAAGGGGGAGAGATTTAGATATGAAAATTCGAAAGTTGAATTTTTCATATTATGTGGACTTGAAGACCGAAGTGACTTCGAGTATTTGACGTTTATGAAATGATTCGATTGAAGATTCGGAAGTGATTTCGGTTCATGATGGGATTGGACTTACTGAAGATTTTTGGAGTGTGCATAAATGCTCAAATTTTGGGTAATTTTTTTAGAGAATGAGAAACTCCTAATTACCTTTTGATGCTCAGTTTATATGGTCTCACATTCTAGAACCCAGATTAAAAATTCATGGAAGAATTGAAGATTTGATGTTCATCTCTACATGTGTCACGTTTGAGGCTCGATTCGTGAAGTTGCTCGAGTTTGGAAGATTTGAAGCGGGTCATCTATTCCTAACTTTGAGGGGGAGAATGTTGGGTACAAAGTTATCAATGTATGACTTTATAAATGGTTTGACTTTTGTAGACCCACTTGCATGTGGTAAAGTAGCCTTGTGATATGAGATAGATAGATAGATAGATAGATAGAGAGATAGATAGATAGATAGAGAGAGAGAGAGAGAAAGAAAGAGAGATAGAGAGAGAGAGAGATGTAAACACTTCTATATAAGGTGGGTTCATACCACATGTAGATGTGTGCTTGAGAGATGTATCACTGAGAGTGTTAGTGTGTGTCAATTATGTAGGTTTAGATCTAGATCTTTTTTTGTAAACACCTTTCATAATCAAATGCATCTCTTAAACACCTAAATCACCATGTTCTTTGTGTGTTTTTTTAATTCTGCATGTCAAAGCAATGGTCATAATTCAAATCACTGAGAATGATTCATTTTTTTGTAAAACCAAAATCAGATTCGAAATTTTGATTTTTTATTTTGGAAAATACCAAACCATTGGTTTTTTATTTCGGTTTCGGTTTTTCGTAGATTTCTTCATCAACAAATGTTGTTAGAATTTAACAAAAATAAATAATTTGCTAAAACATAATAGAAGAGGAAGTTTGTTTATATTTAGTCATTGAACTTTTTTAGAGGGAAACGAACTTTAGATTTTGTTCATATTTAGTTACTAAACTTTTTTTCGTTATCTATTTGCCACTGAACTATTGAAACTGTTCACATTTTACCCTTATGACCGGTAACCGGTCATAAGGGTAAAATGTGAATAGTTTCAATAGTTCAGTGACAAATAGATAACGAAAAAAGGTTTAGTGACTAAATGTGAACAAAATCGAAAGTTCGTTACCCTTACAAGTCATTATCCCAAAAATAAAACATAAGAAAAAAAATCACATCAAAATAAATTTTATTTATGAATTTTATTAAGTCAAATCAAGAAATGTCCACTTCAATATATTTACGAGAATAATGATAATTTTGCGGTAATTTTATGTAAGATGACGAGGAGGAATGAGGAAAATGTGGTATAGTAATTTTAAGGAATGATAAAACAAAAATTAACCAAAAAATTACTTGCAAATTGCGTTTTTGTGATGGATCTGGTGAGATTTAATTTGGACTTTGGATTGTAGTTTTGGGGATAAAGTTAGAAAGTTGTTTGGCACTCCGTTCTCCCTCTGTCACCATCTCTTGGAAATGGAGAGAACTGAAACATCCACGAATCAAAGGTCAAAGAATCACAACACAACAAAACCCCAAGCGAACCCACCACCTTTCATCCCTTGGTCCCTCTCTTGTTATCATCCACAATTCCTAATTGTTTCAATCCACCCACGCTGGTTACTTGCATAATTCTATGGTGGTGGCATGGCTTCATGTTCATGCCACTTGGTGATTGTCGATATGAATCGAGCATCTCCAGTTCTACACACTGTAACCCCCAAACACCATCCATTCGAGCTTCAACGATTCAGAGAACCGAATAATTCCGTAGGGTTTCCAACCAAGTGCCGATTACCTGCACGGCGTCGTCTCACTGTGGTTGTTGCTGCTGCTGGGGCGGAGCTCTCGAATCCTTTCTCCGTCAACATTGGCTTGGATTCTCAGGTGCATCATTCATCAATTTAGTTATTGGGTATTCATTTTTCTTTGATTATGCAAATAAAATGATTGATTGGTCGGATGAATTGTTTTGGTATAGATTTATTAGATCTTTAGTTCGTTGAGTAGCGTGAACTTTTAGATGCTGAAATGAGATTGAGACTCTAATCATATGGTTGGCTTTAATACTCCTCCTTAATTAGTAGAATCTCATTTCCAAAATTTGCTAACGTTAAGGATACTTGTAACTGTAAGGGGGTATATCAAAGTATGCTAATATGCTATATATATCTTTTCACCAAATAAACAAAAAGTTTCCCCCAGAAATGTACTCTGATTGTAATTTGTCCCACCCATGAAGGTGAAACAAGATGCCCCCTTGATCTCCCATTTTCGTAAAAGACGAGAATGCCCTCTCTTTATTCTCATCATCAGAAATAGCCCTAGAAAGCTTGTTGTGTTTGGATGTATTTCTTAAAAATGATCTCTGCAACTTCAAAAATCAGAAGCAGAAAACGAGGTGCTTAAAGTTGAGTAGTTTTATGTTTGTCTCACAGTCTCAGTAATCTCTTTCCTTATAGCAACTCCTTGCTTAATTTTTAAAATCTGATTATTTATGACCCTGAATAATCAGAAAGCATAATCATAATCACTTTTTTCCCAAACTGATTCATGCCACTTTCAATTTGCAATGATTAGTTTAAATGTGCATCCCCATTAGTTAGAGTTGTGGATGTGCGGTTTATGATATTTCTTAAAAAAAGAAAAACATGTTGAATGTGGTACAATCATTTCTTCTTGGTAGTTTGTGAATACCAGTTAATTAAATTCAACTGTAGGATGATTATATTGGTGAAACTCCTCTAAATATGGTACGTTGTCTCTACCTGAAAAAGAATAGACTTCTGATTTTAGAAATTCAAACATTCTTCTTTTCATATCCAGAAGGTTTGTGGTTTTAAGTTTTAAAAATTTCTATTGGTATTTATGGTTTTAAGTTTTAGAAATCCAAACTTTCTAGTTTCAAGTTGAAAAGGAACTTCAGTAACACTCAAGTCAAATGTGGCCTCCTTTTTTTTAGTCAGATATCTTCAACTTAAAGCTATGCTGTAACCTCAAGTGGATTGGAAAAAAATAATAATTAGTTTAGTGCCAATGCTACTTGGTAACTGCAACAAGAATCAACTAGGACTTTTAAGAATTCTTTTAGCAATATGCAACATTATACTTGTAAGCATTTTAAGAATTCCATGTTATATATTGCTAATATCAGTAAACATTGCAAGTACATTGCTATTATGGCCTTATGGGTAAAAAAAATAAGACACATTACCAATATTTATAACAAAAGTAAAGTACACTGCTATTCCCACAATCTGCTCTTATATCTCTTGCAGTTTTGCATAGCATAAGAGCATACTAGCATTGCAAAGAATCTCATTGATGATGTTAAATTGCTAATTTTTGTTTCTTTCTAAATTTAGACATACCAGTCTCATAATTTGACACAATTACCATGGGTTGGTCCACTTCCTGGAGATATTGCTGAAGTTGAAGCATACTGTAGAATCTTTAGAGCTGCTGAAAGGCTTCACAATGCATTAATGGATACATTATGCAACCCTGTGACTGGGGAATGTAGTGTTTCTTATGCTTTTCCTTCAGAGGACAAGCCATTACTTGAAGATAAGATAGTCTCTGTTCTTGGTTGCATGATATGCCTTCTAAATAAAGGAAGGGAGGATCTTCTTTCTGGGAGATCAACCATCATGAAGTCATTTAGTGTCTCGGATGTAGACATAATGGAGGATAAGCTTCCACCTCTTGCTATTTTCAGGCGTGAGATGAAAAGGTATTGTGAAAGTTTACATATTGCTCTTGAAATCTTTTTGACTGCAGATGATACTCGTAGTCTTGATGTTTGGAGAAAACTTCAAAGGCTGAAAAGTGTTTGCTATGATTCTGGGCTTCCACGTGTGGAGGATTATCCACCTCCATCTTTATTTGCAAATTGGAATCCTGTTTATTTATCCACATCAAAAGAAGATATAGAACCTGCTGAATGTGATGTAGCTTTTTGGAGGGGTAGCCAGTTGACAGAGGAAAGCCTCAAGTGGTTGCTTGAAAAAGGGTTCAAAACCATTGTGGATCTTAGAGCAGAGAATGTAAATGATGTGTTTTATGAAACCGCATTACAAAACGCACTTTCATCTGGGAAAATTGACCTGGTCAAACTTCCGGTTTCAGTGGGGACAGCACCATCAATGACACAGGTTGAGATGTTTTCATCTGTATTAGCGGACCCCACCAGAAAGCCAGTGTATCTCCATAGCAAGGAAGGTGTTTGGAGAACGTCTGCCATGGTTTCCAGATGGAGGCAGTATGGGTCTCGTTACATTCAAGATCAACAACAACTTGCATCAAACTCAAAACCAGCCATAGCCATGGAAGAAGATGATGAATGTTCTTCAACCAGTAATGGAGCCTACAAAGATACTGGAAATGGGGTTTTGGTTGATTTTTGTGTCAATCCCATGGAGTCCCAATTACCACCTTCCAATGTTTTCTCAAGAAAAGAAATGTCCATGTTTTTCAAAAATAAAACTCCTTCCCCCACGACATATTTCACTTTTGAGCGAAAAAGATTAGAGAAACGATTGAGATCAAGAAAGAAAAGTAGTTTAGATTCTGAAAGGGGAAATGGTTCTCTAAATGGGAATAATTTCAGCAATAATTCTAATTCTGTTCCTTCTGGTTCCAGCTTGAAAGAGTTTAATGATTCAGATAGTAGGCATGCTGCTAATGAAGTGGGTGGATCTTCCAATTCCATTGTTGTCTCAAGCAATGGAAATGGAAATGGAAAAGTTGGGAATGAAGATATGCAAGTGATTGAGGGAAATATGTGTGCTTCTACAACTGGGGTTGTAAGAATACAATCAAGAAAGAAAGCAGAAATGTTTTTAGTTCGCACAGATGGGGTTTCTTGCACCAGAGAAAAAGTAACTGAATCCTCTTTGGCATTCACTCATCCAAGCACACAGCAGCAGATGCTTATGTGGAAATCATCACCCAAGACTGTGTTACTGTTGAAGAAGCTTGGCCTAGAACTAATGGAACAAGCTAAAGAGGTACAACTACAACTACTTCCACATCTGAGTATCAATAATGCCTTTTTTGTTATACAGGACAGATGTCAATGGGATAAAAATTGCAATTTCTTTGTCCCACTTTTTGTGTACAAAAGACGTGAATGCCCTGCCCTCATCATTGAAATTTTCCCTTGGAAGCTTGTCCTGTAGCCTAACAATCAAAAGGATCTTCTTGTTGCAAAATATTTCTTTTTAAATTGATATCTGAGGTATAGCAGCTTTTTATTTTCCTCCTAAAACTCTATTCTCTTTGTGTGGAGTTTTTCATGTGAAATTTGATACTTTCTTGTATCTTTAGTTGAAGATTGGAGATATGGATACCTGTAGTATATTTTTGTTAGACATAGACTTAGACAAAGAATTTTGTTACTTTTTTTGTTATCAGAGGAGTAAAAGCTTTTATATTTCTTTTAACTTGTTACTTTGTGTTTGTGAACCCAAATTAAGAGCTTTTATAATGATCACTAGGTTTTAGTTATGCTTACATTCACTTTCTTTCTTCAATTATATTTTCTTAGTTTAATGTGATTTCATGGTTTTGTTATTGTTTCGTGGGACTTTGGATAGGCTTGGCTTTTACATTTTGTTAGGCAGTATTGAGGGTTTCTTTCAGTCAAACTTCATTCTTTGGTCATCTGTCAAACTCTTTTCTATTCATCATTTGTTTTCTTATTTATTTTGCATCAAATTTCTTTTTGACTGTATGCAGAAATAATGACTTAACAGCTAAAGTCAAGAAGTCGAGACTTTCCCATTAAGTTCTGTCCTAAACTTTTATAAATGTGGCCTCATTTATAAATATTTTCCCCAAGTGTGCTCTCATTTTCTCAAATTGTATTTTAAACATCATTTATAAGGATCGAGAGTCCTCCAGATAGCATTCAATGGTGGAAAAAATAAACAAGGCCTAAACATACCTTTTTTTTTTTTTTTTTTTTTTTTTTTGTAAATTATAACTATTTATATGATGCAGCATCTATCATTGATGCTAAAGAATGTTAGAAAAGCAATCTATGGAAAAGATAGACATTAGAGCAGTTTGATTTAAACGATTTCTAACAGTTGGTTGTCCATGCCATGAAACACACACACACACAAACACATACAGGCTGCGTCTTTCTTGTATCATCAAGAGAACATGAATGTTCTTGTGGAACCTGAGGTTCACGATGTTTTTGCAAGAATACCAGGATTTGGGTTTGTACAAACTTTCTACAGTCAAGATACAAGGTATATAATGATAATGCAAGAAGTAGCATTTGTTTGTTTGTAGTAATAAAAATGTAGCGAATTGCAGTTTGTAATTTGTTATGTTATGTTATGTTATGTTATGTAGTGATCTTCATGAGAGGGTAGATCTGATCGCCTGTTTGGGGGGAGACGGGGTTATTCTGCATGCATCCAACTTGTTTAGAGGTGCTGTTCCCCCTGTTGTGTCATTCAATCTCGGGTCTCTCGGTTTCCTCACTTCACATGCTGTAAGCTTCTACATGATAAATGATAGTTGAAATTTTTTTGAGAAAATAAATTATGGCAAATGATTTAAAGAAGTAAGTAAGATTTGTAAGATTGATTTGTGGTGGGTGGGTGCAGTTTGAAGACTTTAAGCAGGATTTAAAACGAGTGATCCACGGGAACAACACACTGGAAGGTGTATATATAACTCTTCGAATGCGTCTCCACTGTGAGATATTCCGAAACGGGAAAGCAATGCCCGGGAAAGTTTTTGATGTTCTCAACGAGGTTGTCGTTGATCGCGGCTCCAACCCTTATCTTTCTAAAATCGAGTGTTATGAACATGACCGTCTTATTACTAAGGTATGTCTGTCATACCTTTAAACTTTTTCTTTTTCATCATTAACTTCTCTTCTGCAATCTGTATCTGTATCAAATTAGTGAAAGTATACTGCTATAATGCTATTATAAAAAAAAGTTAGTGAACTTTATGTATGGTTGCCAAAATCACTGTATTCTTTAAAACTGATTATTTTGGGTAGGGTGGAAAATTGCAGAAAAATTTACCCCATCTTAATGATGTTTAAGATCTGTTGACCATATTGGAAATCAAGGGAAAGGGTGTTGCTATTTATCCCATTCCATTTTGTTTTTGTTTGAAAGTCTCCAACCCTTTCCCTTTGGATCTCAATTTTATTTAATAATAGGTGCAAGGTGATGGAGTGATAGTAGCAACACCTACAGGGAGTACAGCTTACTCTACGGCTGCAGGAGGTTCTATGGTATGTATGTTGATATAGTTTGGGGTAATTTTAATTAGGTAAAAGGTGCATCATGCATGCATATATAATTTTATGAATGCAATGCAGGTGCATCCAAATGTCCCATGCATGCTTTTCACACCAATTTGTCCACATTCCCTCTCCTTCAGGCCTGTTATACTTCCTGATTCTGCACGTCTTGAATTAAAGGTGAATCAACTCAACTCAACTCTCCCAAAACCCAAACCCAATACTCAATATACTTTGAAGTTTGAATGATTATATTTATCATTTTCATAAATCATAGCAAGGAAAGTAAGTATTTGTTTTAACGGGTGGCAGATACCAGAGGATGCACGGAGTAACGCTTGGGTCTCGTTTGATGGAAAGAGAAGGCAACAACTTTCACGAGGAGACTCGGTGCGTATATGCATGAGTCAGCATCCCCTTCCAACGGTCAACAAGTTTGACCAAACAGGAGATTGGTTTCGCAGCTTGATTCGTTGCCTCAATTGGAATGAAAGACTGGATCAGAAGGCCCTGTGATTACGATTCCCATTCCATTTTAGAAATCATTGTTTCCTCATACCAACTTTCTTGTAAATAAATCTGTTGTACATACACTTACAGCTCAGCCAAAGCAGCTAGATGTAGATGGAAAGGGGAAATATTATATTATTATATACAACCAACTCATTATAAATAATCATTGCACATAAAAGACTTACTATGGGAAAACATAATGACTTTCCAATCCTCACTATTTCATTTTTTTTGGTCAATAATAAAAAATAATATGCCATTGCTTTTATTAATGTTTTAACGTGGTCAATGTGACGAGTAAAATTTTTAGAAAGTGCAATGCAAAAGAATGTAGATAGAAAAAAAAAATTCATCAATGAATAAAAATTTCATCTATTTTATATGTGAAACTTCATACTATACTTGTAATCATAAATTAATAAAAAAAAATGTAGATAGAAAAAAATAAAATTAAATACATGTGTAATCATCCTCTCTAATAAATGATTTTTTTTTTTTTTTTAATCACTTGTCACGCTTTCATTCAATTTGTGAAATGTTATTTTTTGGTTGTTTGAATTAATTTTTTTTCCCACATATCATTTTATGAGTTTTTCTATTTTATTAAAATTCCAAATAATATTTTAATATAATAATTGCAATAAATATAGTAATAAATTGATATTAATTATATTAATAAACTTATCTTTTAATTTCAAAATTACCAAAATTAAAACTCATTAGTTTCTCTTTTTTATTTAAATTTAAAATATAAAAACATTTTCACTAAAATAATTCATTATTTTTCTTATTTTATATTTTAACCTTTATATTTAACTTTTTTTTTTTTCAAAATTAACTCATGTAATATATGGTTGTCACAGCTAGTACATGAATACACAGATGTTGTAATCATACAAAAAAAAATCTATTATAATCATAATTATAAATAAATAAATAAACAACAATTATAATCATATATAAAAAGCAAAGAAGTTCTAATAATAATCGAATACAATATTTGGAATGAATGATGTTAGTTTATTTATCTCAATTGGTCTTCCTAGAAGACTCAAGCATTTAACTCTAACTTTGATTATTCAAACTACATGTATGTTTTAAAAGCTTAGAACTCTCATGAACCCTATCAGAATCATAAAAAATATACATGAATAAGATACCATGGACAAACATTGTTAACAAATGCGAAGCTATACGACTTAACTCCAACATAATGACTCTGATATAACTGGCCCTTTTAGGGACTTGAATATTGCCTAATTGCTGTGGTGCATTTATCGTTATTGCTTCTGTGAATATAGTAGCTAAATAATCCTAACGTGTTACATAAGACAAATATTGTATAATTGTTCGATTTTCTGCAATTTTTTCCATACCTCTGTGTAAATAACCCAATATTGGTTCACAGTCAATGACATCCCTTCATCAATGAATAAAACATAAATTATATATAAAATTCCATACAACAGGAATAATAAATGAATAATACACAATGTAGATATAAAAATACTATAGAAAATCAAAGATAGTCGTCATAATGAAACCTTAATTCTTTTGACTCTAAAATCTATATAAGAAAAAAAGCCACAATCATGTTTTATAAATATAATACCAAAGCTTTTGTCAAATTAAAAAAAGAGATGAAAAATGAATGTTAAACTAAGCATATCATGAGAGAATACTTGGTCTAAAAGAAAAAATATATATATACAGTCAAAGGGATCATATGAAATTGTTTTATATTTATTTTTTAATCTTCAAAATTCGCAATTACAAAACATGTGATCATTACATGACATTATGTGTTACTACTGAAGGATCTTGTATGCTCAAGAGTCATATTAAAGTGATATTGGTAATTAAGATATGACTAACAACTTGATCCAATTGATTATTTATTAGAATCTGATTTTAATAAATATTCAATAAACACTTATAATTAATTGGAAATTATTTATTTCTAGAAAATAATAATTTTCATTAGCAAATAATACGTTAAATCATATAATATGATTTATTAAGTCATGTCTATCTTTTTGGACTGAAATATTTTTTATCTTTATCCCAAAAGTTAAGTTTTATTATAAGAGAGTTTATAAAATTTATAAAATTTTGATTTTCTTTTATAAATCCTCTAACTAGTTAGACTAGTTATGGTCTTTTGATTAATATGGGGGAACATTATGGACATGGTAGGTCTTAAAGTGCTAAGACTTTATAGGTATTACCTTTGCTTTAAGACCATAACATGAAGGATTTCATTTTGGTGCATTTTTTTCATGCCAAAATCGTAGCCTCTCTCCATGGCTTCATTCTCTCTACTTTTGCTTTTATTAATTGAAAGAATACTTGCATTTTTGCTCTCTTGAAGTTCATATTTAGATATGAACTTTAAGCTTAAGAGTATAAGAGTTTAAAGAATAACATTATCATTAAGTATCAAAGGTTCTTACATTCTTCTACAACTTCAAAGCCTCCCTTGAGGATTCAAAGTCTACAAAGGCTGTCTTCTTTTTTGGTTGTTGTTTTCTTTTCAAACTTTGCAAGAAGATCCATGATAAATTATAAACTAGTTTTATGTTGTTCAAAAAATTCAAGTATTCTGTTACTACACCTTGTGTTTTTTAAACTATTTTAGAGAAAAAACCCAACAACTACAAATAAGAAATATAAAAAAATTAGTTATGATTTATCTATAATTATGCAATATTATTTTAAATATTAAGCATATTTATGAATGAATGGAATTAATTCTATGATGAATGTTCAGCCCCATCGGATATATGACATAAAATTAAAACTGGAATACTTGACTATAATTCAAATAATGTATTAAAAATTGAAAAAAAAAATCAATCTCGAAAGTCCCCACCTTTTGATCCATTGACACTAAACAAGTCGCAAGAGAAATCGAGACCCACCCTTTAACCTGGATAAAATCCTATCTATAAAGAATCATAGTCCGCTCCTTCTCAAATCAATATGAATGTTAAGAAACGAGATGAAAGAAAAATGGGGCATTGTTAAGGATGCCTTCATCTTCTTCACACAAGGGCAAGAACATAAATATTGAATCCGTTATTTTTACGTGTATATATTGTGCATTGTCGATAGAAAGGTAAGATGCATAAAGAAAGATGATAAGTAGAAGAGCTCAATTTTATTCTAAACAAGCTGATGAAAAAAAAGGTCATTACCAACAAATTTTATTAAGAAAAAGAGGAGGAACTCCACCTAGAAAGCAACTAGGAAGATAAGAAAATGTAAAATACCAACCAAATCACGAGTCACACCAATACATAAAAAGAAAAAGAAGAAACATTAAGTGAATTACATGAATGGACTTTTACACCAATCAATCCAATTATAAGCTCCTCCATTCCTCCGATGTTTGAATCACATGAACACTGTAACACTCCGTTTAAAATTGAGTAATTAAATAATAAACCCTAAACCCCAAGGTGTAAATTTATATTTAATTGTAGCAAAAATAAATAATATTTAGCGGGGTGCTGGTTTCAGGGAGTTAAATATCATAATTTTGGATTTTGGGGGTTAAAAGTGTAGGATTTATTTTGTAAAGATTTTCAGAAGTCAGGGGTGTTTGGTAAATATTGGACTTGAAGTGTTATGAATTTTGGATGTTGGGGGCTGTTTTGTAAATTGTAGGCTTAAATTGAAAAGATTCTTATAAGGAGGGGCCAAACGTGTAAAATGTGCATATGTTTGAAGTTGAACACGGGTTAAACCTGTCACCCTCATGTAACCTCTCTCTCTCTCTCTCTCTCTATATATATATATATATATATATATATATATATATATATATTAATAATGAGCTGTTATATGGAAAATATGGAAATGTTTCCATAATGGGAGTTGGATATTAAGAATCTATGTGTAGGTTGGAAAATTTTATGCAAAAAGGATGTTCAAAGGAATGTACTTTGAATTTGAGACTTCGCTTCCATTGAATTGTTTTGCTGTCAATCTCCAATGGAATAATTTGTAATTTCATTGTCCAAGTCTTTGTGGCTTTGGTCCATTGACATTACAAAATGATCATTGCATAAAGGTTAGAACCTAACTCATTCTAATAGTGGCAAGAATTTGGTATTCTTACATTTGTGATAAAGATTTGGAGTTGTGAAATGAGTTTCCTTGAAGATGTATTCAATTGATCTATTTCACAAAGAAAGGACCATAGGAAAACTTAGTGTGGATGCTTGGAGCATGGGATAACTATTGCTTTAATTCAAGTATAAATTTGATAAATCGAAACAATATACAATGAATAATGTGTAATCAATATGGTGATTAAATAAAAGACGTTTTACTTATATTCAAAAGTTTTGATACCATATTGGATTCGATTATTCTTGTGTTTCACTTTGTATGTTTTAACTTCCCGAATAACTAGATTTATTCAAACTATCCACAGTCGATCATACTTTGGAAGTAGGTATTGAAGATAGACTGTCATGAATGAGTCTGTAGATTTTCTAAAGGTGTTTAGACATAGCACAAGTTTGATGTAGTATTCATGAGTACTCCTTCAATAAGATTTGAGTATTGGACTAAACCCACGCTCATTTGAATCACTTCATGGATTTTATCACGAGTGATCATGAGATGATAATATATTATATTCTGAAAACAAAGACGTGTGAGTTGTAGCTTACAAATCGGTTGCACATTGATGATGCGTAAACGCACCAGTAACTTGGTGTTATAAAACACATTGTTATGTGTGATTTGATGATTAAATACAAGACACATATGATTCGACATTTACCCATTCGTTTTACCCTTAGAGGGATAAAAGCGATATATGTGGGCCACTTGATGATTTAGTGATGGCAACCCTAAGTGCTTGGCCAAGCCAGGACTGATTTGATTTGTTCAATTAGTAGGTCGTCATAAATCAGAAATGGGGAAACAAAACATGAACATAGCGAATGATTATAATCCACGTCTC